TGGTTTCTACACTTTTTAGTTATTGGCAGGTATTGGAAAGACCGGCTGGTCAACTGCTGCCGTATACTTAATTAGCTTTGAGAGCGCCTAGACTGGCTTTCTCAATTTACAGTTGGATAGATGGGGATTGTACGTTCTTGCGCTTGAGCATTGCCGGGGTGCTGTCCGGCTGTGTTTCCCCCCCATTTGAGGTGATTCCCTCGGCGCGGTGGGTGCCCACCCCTATAGCTCCCGGCAGTCGGTAAGACCAGAAAAATACACTATATTGTTGATTGTATAGAAGTTGCATCTGAGCGACTGACTTTGCACAACTGTGTTTTGTTTTATTGTTTAATTTGTTTTTTTTGCTAACTAAAGTTCAATAAGTAAGAAGCACAACACACCAAGATACTAAAGTGTACTATCTGCTCCTGAATTTTTTTATTTTCTCTCCTCAGTTGTATAAGATACGACCACCTCTCATACCGGCCCCCTATACCCCCTCCCCCACCTCCAGTCCTCCCCCCTTCCCCCACACCACGCTACCTGCTCTGCTGCAGGGGGTGGAAACAACACCCAACACCCGAGCCTAGGATACGCAGACGAGCCACACCTCACTGGACAAGTACCCTGACACATAGTACGACAGCCCAAGATGGAACTTAAATTGACCTCACTCAACGTGAATGGGCTCAATAGTCCCAACAAACATAGACTCCTCTTCCGTGAACTTAGACGTCAGAAAGCAGATATTGCTTTCCTCCAAGAAACCCACTTACCGCGCACCTCAATGACAACTTAAAAACCATATCTACACTAGGGCATTCGCCTCCCGAGCACTATGTAAGAGAAATGGGGTCGAAATACTTATACATAAGAAATGCCCAATTAATATCACCGAGACTCATATTGACAAAGAAGGCTGGTACGTGGTCCTGACGGGTACGCTTCATGCCAACACATATCATATGATTAATATTTACGCACCCAACGCCCCCAGTAAAGAATTCTGGACGGAATTAGAGACGCTGATCTTAGGACTCCCTAGGGTGGTTTTGCTACTAGGGGGAGACTTAAACGCCACACCATGCCCAGCGACTGACCGAGGAGGTGGCCTTCGCCTCCCTAGGTCACAGAACAGAGGAGGGCAGGACAAGCTCCTGAACACCTTAATTAACCACACGGGACTGCTGGACCCATGGAGGATCCAACACCCGAGTGAGCGGGACTATACCTTCTATTCAGCGGTACACGAAACATACTCACAAATAGATATGTTCCTTGTCAACCAACTAGTCATGCCATGGATCAAAACCGCGGAAATAAACCTTATCTCCTGGTCTGACCATGCTGACATTGCACTCACTCTAAAACTCCCCGGCCCACACGCCCCCTGGAAATGGAGACTGAATGTCTCCCTGCCCAAAGACCCCCAAACACGGGAGACGATACGGCAAGAATTAACCCGCTACTTCCTAGAAAACAGCACTCCTGACATATCCCCCACAATGTTATGGGCAGCCCACAAAACAGTGATGAGGGGATTATTGAATAAAACCGCCACCTTCTTAAAAAAGAAAAAAGCCGAACAACTCACTGAACTACAGAAACTTTTACGTAAGACTGAAATGCAAAACAAGCCGGCAGCAACCCCAGACACAACCAGGGCAGTGACTGACATCAGACGACGGCTTAGAGACGTAATGATAGATGATGTGAGCAAAGAGATGATCCGCACGAAACGCTTATTTTATGAAAAATCCAACAAAATGGATACACTGTTAACACGGGCCTTTAGACCCAAATGCAGGGAGAACACTATCATGGCCATTAAAGACTCACAGAAAAAGTCTTAACCAACCCCATGGACATAAGCAAGGAATTCACGAAATTCCTAGCCCAGGTATATGACCATTCCCCCACACTCACGAACACAAACAGCGCATACATGGCACAAATTGCCGCCTTCCTGCGAAATGCTAATCTCCCGTGACCCTCGGCAGACGTAACTTCACAGTTAGGAGCACCCATCGAACATGACGAAATAAACAGGGTCATAACGGATCTTAAGGGGGGAAAGGCCCCGGGCCCGGATGGGTTAGATGGCTCTTACTATAAAACCTTTCGAGAAGAACTCATACCTCACCTAGCCAACATGTACAAGACCTGGACTGACAACGACTCGCCAAACTCCGACCTTTCAACGGCAGACATAGCCCTCATCCCCAAACCGGACAGAGACAACTCCAACATAACGAACTACCGCCCCATCTCCCTCCTTAATTTTGACGTGAAGGTATATGCCAAGATACTTGCCGCCAGCCTCAACCCCATCCTGCCCAAGCTCATACATGCCGACCAGGTGGGCTTTGTCCCAGCCAGACAACTTTACGAAAACACGAGACGGGCAACAGACCTGATATGGTGGGTCCTTTCCTTGGATGCGGAGAAGGCGTTTGACAGACTTCAGTGGCCGTATATGTTTGCTCTCCTTGAGGAGATGCGGCTCCCCACCATGTTTGTTAAGGCGGTCCAAGCACTCTACACTAACCCAATAGCCCAAGTAAGGGTGCCAGGAGCACACCCGCTTCCCTTTGCAATGGAAAAATGGCACCCGGCAAGGATGCCCTCTATCCCCCCTACTGTTTATTCTAAGCAGAGGCCTGGAAGACACAGGAGTTCAACGCTACTACCATCTATTTCAGGCAGACAAGTTCCGCACCTTTGATAACCTAAAGACCCTGGCCCCACTTATAACCAAAGACCACTTTAGATATCTTCAACTGAGGGACTTTGCCAGGAAACCCACCATTGCCGAAGGCTGCTAAAACCAGGCCCACATTCTATGAAACACTGTGTATGTCCGAGGGACCATGTGCCGGCCTCATTACTCACCTATATACGCAGCTGAGCGCACCGACTAGCGAGACCCAAACACCCTCCTATATCTTACAATGGGAAACTGACCTCCAACAGACACTAGAAAGTGGGAGTGGCAGGACATATGGGAGGCTGCAACCAAGTCCTCCATATGTGTGATTCACCAAGAACAGTGTTACAAAACGCTCATGAGATGGTACACCACACCAGTTAAATTACACAGAATGGGCAAAACACCCACAGATATATACTGGAGAGGATGTGGGGAGAAAGGCACATATCTACACATGTGGTGGACATGTCCAAAAGCTGTCCAATATTGGGATAACATAGCCACACTCCTGACAGTAATCTTAAATAAGCCAATCAAGTCTGACCCTTGGACTTTCTTGATAGCTAAAATGATTGACAGTCTACCCAATAGAGAACAAAAGCTATTGAATAAAATCAACCTGGCTGCCAGGCGTGCCCTGGCACAGACGTGGCTCCAAATGGAAACCCCGCAAATGGATAGAGTAATTTGTAATATCAAGGAAGCCCACCTAATGGACAAGCTTACAGAGCAGGTACGAGACACATACCCACTTTTCCATAGAGTATGGGAACCGTGGGAGGAATACATTAATGCTGACTAACACACTCTCATTATATTTATGGCTATTATTTTCAACTTCTCAAATTAGCATACATGTTCCAACTATCTGGCCTGAGAAATATTTTTGTACATTTTTGACAGACCCGCCTGTGATCATAAGTTTGTGATCTGCAGACGATTCGGCTACAGTAGTAATTGCAGTAATTGATTTACTGTGCACTTAAAATTGCTTTGGAGCAGTCTTAGCCTCCCTTACGTATCAGTCATGCCTGTGTGTGAGTAACTGGCTCACTCATTTTCATCTATGAGTCAAGTAACAAACCAAAGTAAATTTTATGGGACTGAAAAAACAAACTAAATACAGTTGGTAAACTGTTTGCATAAGCACCAGATAAGCAACTGAGGATATTCTAGTCAAGAGGTGGATTAATATCCAACAGAGCCCTAAATAGCTACTAGTTTACCCACTTCCCATCATTTATCAAGACATGTAAATTAACGGTGTGCTGCCATTGGGCCTCTGTTTAAGCTGCAGACAGCTGCCTTAGGCAACCTTATGGTTAATCCAACTATGTTTCCACTTTCCATTTGTTTAAAGTCAGTTCTTTATCAACTTCAAAGTTTATAAAAGTTATATTAAATAGACACTCTAGTCACCAATATATATAGAATTCTTTATTTTTGTTGTGCAAGTAAATACATTCCAGCAGTAATCGCCACCACAGAGACACAACGAGCATAGTAGTAAGAACACAGTGGCATGAGAAACTGCACATATTTTTGCTATATAAACAGGTAAAACTGACATGTCTATATCTGCTTTAGTAGTGAGTGAATAAGTAGGTAGAGATTAACAGACATGTGGATAGAATTCAAGTATGAATTCGTAAAAAGCAAATAACGCCAAGCCTGGCATATCAGTGATTTGTGTAAAGACATAGCTATTGAGATTATGGAATAACATGCCAGATTAGGAGGCAGGAGGTTCCATGGGGCAGCAAAGTACCCCAGGAGAGTTTACCATCACCCTGGTGAATGTTGGTCACGAACAAGTTAAGTAAATGTGGGATCAGATGGAGGGGTAGGGGAGATGAGGTCCTCTGGTGTCTGCATATGGGGACTTATTAAAGTTGGCAATTGCTTTAATAGCCAAGGGAGCAAGAACGTCAAAAGAGATTATTTTAAATCAACAACGTTAAAGATAAAAAAAAAATGTGAATAGCACCGGAAAAACAGTCACACAGCGCGACTGGCCCTGGATGGCCTTCCAATCATGGTAAGGGCTACTTTCGTCGACTGCAGAATGCATAAACATTATCAGTCAGATGACTGCAATATTGGTCCTGGGGATGGTCGAGGTGGCAATACAGGACTACAGGTCTTGAGGGCTCTGCACCCGATAATTAAGAATAATAGCATCTCTGCCCCCACCGGGGAGAGGTAGCAGGTTACCTACTGCTGGGGTGTCCCCAAGATGCTATCCTAATAACTCACAAGATAGGATCATATTGAATAGCCTTTTAACTCTCATCAATGAGCGGGATGAAGAGCTCTGTGGTGTAGATGCTTTAAGGCAGGGCTGTCCAACCTGCGGCCCCCCAGATGTTGCTGAACTACAACTCCCATGATTCTTTCAATTAAAAAGATAGCCAGGGAATCATGGGAGTTGTAGTTCAGCAACATCTGGGGGGCCGCAGGTTGGACAGCCCTGCTTTAAAGGTTATCAACTCAAACATCTAAACAGGTTTAAAACCTCCCTCTACACACTATCCTGTGGCTGACAAAGGACACTTCATCCCTATATTCTATGACCTTGTGTTGAAGGATCTTGAAGAATTGGATGTAATAAACAAAACAAACAACAAGAAAAGAATCACCAACAACCTTAGAAAAGTTGAACTCAATGATCTTCAGGATCTAAGAACCAATCATGAAATCCCTATCAAAGGTGCTGATAAAGGTGGAGGGATTGTGGTCTTAAATAGCAAGGATTATCTAAAAGAGGCAAACAGAATATTGAGGGACACTGAATTCTATAGAGTGGTCCAACAGGACTCCAGTATTCAATACACTAAAGAGTTGAAAACTCTAATTGAGAATATGCATAGGAGAGGCATCCTAGAGAAAAAGAAAAAGGGATATCTCCTTTCAGGTCCTGGGGATATCCCCATTTTTTTACTATCTCCCTAAAATACATAAGAGTTTGGATAACCCCGCAGTTCGCCCGATAATATCTTCCATTGGGTTGATGACTGCTCCACTATCTAAATGGGTGGACATACATTTTTAGAGAAATTTGTAATAAACCTCCCCTCTTATATTCGTGATACAAGCCATGTGCGCTCTCTTATGCAGGAGATAACCTGGCAAAAAAAATTACAGCTGGTTGACCATAGATGTAGCTGCACTTTATACTAACATTGACCATGCCCTAGGCTTACGATCCTTCGAATATTTTTTGCTACCTGATCCTCTCCTTCCACCACTTCAGGCGGAAGCAATAATTGAAATTTTATTTTAACACACAACTATTTTAACTTTGACAATGTATTTTATCTATAGACCAAGGGGACGGCTATGGGGGCGAGGTTTGCGCCCTCATATGCAAATCCCTTTATGGGTTTTTGGGAAACAATCGTATATATTAGACAACCCTGATTCAATTGATCATCTGGTCTTATATCTACGGTTTATAGACGACATTAAAACTATTTAAAAAAATTTCCTCAATACTAATGATTGGGGCCTTACATTCGCCTACAATAAACAAAAAGTACAGATCGAATTTCTTGACCTGCTACTATGGGGTAATTATGATAGAGTCCTCACCAAAACATACCAAAAGAAAGTTAATGTTGATGGTTTTCTGCATGCTACCATTGGACATCATTCCACATGGATAGCCAACGTCACTTCGGGATAGTTTATTAGACTTCGCCACAATTGCTCCAAGCAGAAGCAATTTGAGAAGAAGCCTTGGTATGATGTCAACGCTTCCTAGAGAAAGACTATCCCCAAGTTCTACTCTGCACTCCTACAACAAAGCTAGAAACACTAATAGGATGTCCCTATTTAATCCTTCATCATAAATGGATAGAAAGTTCGTAACCTATTCTCAGCCCCCCTCGTCCGAGATACATAATTTTTATCCTTGCTATATAATTTGGGATTCCAAATTTACCCTCCAACGGAGTAAATTCAACATTAGTACCTAGGATGTACTCAAAAACAAAGTCCCACTCTTTTCAACAGTGTTTAATAAATCCTATGATGATATCAGAGGTATACACTGGCCTGTTCTCAAACTAGACCCATGGTTAAAATTTTGTATCCCTAGTAACCCTAGAGTGACCTAGGAGAAATAAAAATATTAAAAACATCCTGGCACCATCCAAATTTATGTTACGTGAAGGTACAAATCTAAATTCTAACCACAACATAGGTAATAATAGATGTGGAGGCAAAAGATGCCTAACCTGTAAACATCTCTGTCATGGAACCTCTTGTTTTGGATCCACTTTTGGTGAGGAGGAATTTATGGTCCAACAAAGGATAAATTGTAACTCTACTTTTCTAGTCTATCTACTTACCTGTACTCAGGGATCATAAAAAAAGCTAGCGTGTGACGGGAGTGGAGCCTATCATGCGGCGGGGCGGGGCTTAGCATGCGGCAGGGGCCCTGGTAACTGCTGCATGGGAAGCAGGAAGGAGTCCCTGCTTCCCCAACAACCAGCCTCCAGGAGCTCCAAGGGATGTGCAGGTAAGAAGCAGATCAGTGTTTCTGTGTGTGACTGCCTGTGAGTGTGTGACTGTCTGCCTGTGTGTGTGTGTGTGTGTGACTGTCTGCCTGTGTGTGTGTGTGTGTGTGACTGTCTGCCTGTGTGTGTGTGTGTGTGTGTGTGACTGTCTGCCTGTGTGTGACTGTCTGCCTGTGTGGCTGTCTGCCTCTATGTGTGACTGTGTGTGTGTGACTTCCTGTATGCGTGGCTTTCTGCCTGTGTGTGTGTGTGTGACTGTCTGCCTGTGTGTGTGACTGTCTGCCTGTGTATGTGACTGTCTGCCTGTGTATGTGACTGCCTGTGTGTGTGTGTGGCTGTCTGCCTGTGTGTGTGTGACTGTCTGCCTGTGTGCGTGGCTGTCTGCATGTGTGTGTGTTTGTGTGACTGTCTGCCTGTGTGTGTGACTGTCTGCCTGTGTGGCTGTCTGCCTGTGTGTGTGTGTGTGACTGTCTGCCTGTGTGCATGTGTGACTGCCTGTGTGTGTGTGTGACTGTCTGCCTGTCTGTGTGTGTGTGTGTGGATGTTTGCCTCGGTGTCAGTGACTGTCTGCCTCTGTGTGTGTGGATGTCTTTGTATGTGTGCATCTGCTAGTGAGAGAGCGAGCGAGCTTCTGTGTGTGTGTGCGCGCGCATCTGCAAGTGAGGGAGCCTCTGTGTGTGCGTGCCTGCAAGTGAGTGAGCTTGTATGTGTGTCAGTGAGCTTGTCTGTAGGGATCATATGTGTGTGTGTGTGTGTGTGTGTGCGCATGTTAGTGAGCTTGTCTGTAAGGAGCATAGGTGTGTCGGAGCCTGTCTGTGGTGAGCATGTGTGTACAGTGAGCTTGTCTGTAGTAAGCATGTGTGTGATCGTGAGCTTGTCTGTAGTGACCATATGTGTGTCAGTGAGCTTGTCTGTAGTGAGCATGTGTGTGTCAGTGAGCTTGTCTGTAGTGAATCTGTGTGTTAGTGAGCTCTTCTGTAGGGAGCATGTGTGTGTCAATGGGCTTGTCTGTAGGGAGAGTGTGTGCGCATCAGTGAGCTTGTCTGTAGTAAGCTTGTGTGTGTATCAGAGTTTGTCTGCACTAAATTTGTGTGTGTGCCAGTAACCTTGACTGTGTGGGTCATTGAGATTGTCTGTCAATGAGCCTATTTGTGTGCATCAGTAAGATTGTCTGTGTCTGTGTGTAAGTATGCTTTACTGTATAATTTAATTACACTGAAAGGACTAATATTTTGAATTAGAAGAAATGTATCAATAATTATATATATATATATATATATATATATATACATACACACACACACACATAGCACAATGACTTATGGGGCTGGCAAAGATTTTTTCACAGGGCTGCTTCGTATCCCTAGTCCGGCCCTGCCTGTACTTGCGGTCTTCAATATGTGGGACAAACCACAAGACCATTAAAGGTCAGGTTTAGAGAACACAGGTTGGCTATACTACGCAAAGACCACAAATACCCTGTAGCACGCCACTTCCAATTAGCCCACGATAGTAATCCTTCCCATATATCGATATGTAAGTGATATGTAAGATTTCTGATACAGCCAAACGAAAGAGACATCTTAATATAGCCGAAACCAAATGAATATTCAAGCTAAACACACTTAAACCATATGGTTTGAATGAGGAGATAGATTAAATCATCTAAACATAAACAATAGCTGAACTATCCCATATCGAGCTGGCTGAATAACTCCTTGATGTGACATCTCTCACTTTTTAACAATTGGGAGAAGTATCTCTAGTCTCATTTAAAATACCATTAGCTTAGTTCTTTATACATAATGCTAATATATATATTACTCAGCGGTGTTGTTTAGCATAGGTTAGTATAGGTACAGGTATAACATCTAGGTTAGTCTCTGATACCTTAGACTCCATATATTTTATACTAGGGGGAAGACACACACACACACACACATATATATATATATATATATATATACACATACACAGTATTTTTACTATTGTTAACCATCTCATATCGAGTTGGCTGAATAACTCCTTGATGTGACATTGTTCACATTACTATAAACTGAAGAAATGTAGTAACCTCATTTGAACTACCATAAGCATAGTTTTATATGCATAATGCTTATTTACCTACATATCTGAGTTGTCGCTTAGTATAGGTTCCCCGATATTTGATAGACCTAGGTCAGTCTCCCACATCTTAGATCTCACACATTCCATACTTGTGGAAAAATATATATTTTTATAGTTTTAGAATTTTTATGAGTTTTATGGTATATATTTAAATGAATGTGATCTTATCTGACACGGCATTTATTTTTAATATTACAAATCTCCTACTGGTTACTTATTTTATCTATTAAGATCTTTCACTCTGTGCATTGTATTTATGTTTAATATATTTGTAACACTCCATTTCTGGCTTTCATCAAACTTTACTAATTACTCATCAGTGGTCCAGGATTTGAGGGTATATAAGCCCTAGATCTGGACATTGGACACAAGTCTTGATAAAGTCTCAGACAGTGGATCTGTCATTACAAGCATTTGGTTACATCGTGGTGCACTTCAGGTAAGGATCGGGAACAGGGGGTTGAGCTAGCAGGTGACTTACTTTATCATCCCAACAATCGTTGATCTCAATTGCAGCATCCTTCTTGGACCTGTGGAGGGGACCCCCACAGATAAGTACAATAACAATTGCTGCTATCATCTCTATATAGAGATTATTTATCACGTTTTATTTTCATACATGCCGGTTTATCTTAACTTTTGTTTTTGTGCTTATATTTTTTTTTATCTTACTAGTGGGTTATATCAGGGGTGGGCAATCTTCGGCCCTCCAGATGTTTTAGACTACATCTCCCATAATGCTCTTAGGGCCATAATGCTAGCAAAGCATCAAGGTAGTCCATAACATCTGGAGGGCCAAAGATTGCCCACCGCTGGGTTATATAGATTATACATAATCCACTGTTTAGCTGTG